AGTTGGACGTCCGAGGGTGACATGGAGAAGACCGTGCGAGGAGGAAATGAGAGCTTCTGGGCTGTCGTGGAACCAGGTTCAAAAGATCTCAGAGAACAGAGTTCACTGGAGACGTGCTACTGAAGCCCTATGTTCCACTAGGAACCCAAGGGACTAATAATAATAATAATATACATACAATAATCCCTTGTGTTATATTCATGTCAATGATGTTAAAATTTTAAGGTAGATGAATGATGTTTTAATGAATGATAATAGTCAACAATAGTAAGTTAAAATCAAAAATTAGCGATGTTGTTGTTATGAAAACTGTATCAATTTTTTTTAGTGTTAATAATTTCAGTGATCTGTATGCATGTTTAGATCTCTCTTTGTAGAATGAATGATTATGCAAGAGTGGAATACTTCAAAATCATGTAAACATTTTAGATGTAAAGTTATACTATACTATAAACTTTTATATTCTTAAGAGAAAAAAAAAATCTACACCAAAGTTATACTTGATAATAATAATAAGATGAAAATAACACCATAAATGAACTTGACATTTTTAGATGAATACAATAAAAGAGATAAGAGAATATATGAGAAGAAGAGTTAATGTACACTTTTAAGTAGTGACTAAGAAATATATCGTTTTCGCTTTCTCTCTTTCTCTCTCTCAATAAATAAACAATGCATCTCATCTGAAAAATTTTGTTCATAATAAAAATGAAATTTTGTTAACTATATTACTGTAAACCAATGATGTTGAAAATAATCGTCATAGATATATATATATCTGTTGGTAGAGCATCTGGTCGGAAACCCAATAGTCACTGGTTCGAATCCAACCGCGGTTCAAATTTTCATTTTATCTTCAATTATCACCCATTATCAATATTAGTCTGCTTTAACCATAGCTGCTATGAAAATGATAATCGATATGATGCTTCCTCTCTTATTCGAATTCAGTTAGATCTGAATTGGGATGAGAAGACCTGACTAGGCAGCCAGTATGCACACTATCATGAGGTAGTTACTAACTAGTCACGAATTCATATGGTAGTCGAGAAATCCTTGGTGATTGAAGTGAAATAAAAATCTAGTCACCAGTCGGACCTGGTCGATCAGTTGGTAGGGCATCGGGCCGGAAACCAGGTGGTCGATGGTCTGAATCCGGCCGCGATCGCAATTTTCAAACGACACCAAGTACATATATATCTTTAAAGATGCACGACTTCGCATCTTATCTATAGCCAAAGTTATAGGTATAAACACAAAAAGACTTGACCTATGTGTTCAAGAGAAATGCGTACATTCACTTCGTTTACTTTGGTCCACAATAGGGTCGACACGTTCTTTATGAACTTACCTGCTACAAATTCCACATTTTAACCTCCCATCCCTTTCTTCTATATTGTGATTACATTGATTAACATCCATTTTCTTATGTTATTAGATTTAATCATTGCCATCCATGATGCAACATTTTACATTTCTTATTATCTATTTCCTTATAGTAATCACGTGATTTTCACCCCGCCTGAATATAACTCATCACTACATAATGATTATTTGACCCTCAATAAACAAAAAAAAACATACACACAGACATTCGTGTCCCAGTAAGCGTATATCGGTGGATTTTGTCGCCTCATTTCCTAATTCTTCTATCAATAGTGATTTCTGAGGGAGTTATGGGGATTTGGAAATATTTCAAATTGTTATCCATCGTAGACTGATTTCACTTGGAGGAACAAAGGAAACCTGGGAGTCCCATACTAGGACGAAACAGCTGTCCAGTGCTCCCAGGTTTCCTTTATTCCTCCAATAGTGATTTCACTGCATAACTAACACAGAGTAGACTGATAACCATTCCACCATACCGTTTCATTCGATTTGATCTGCATTCACCATCAAAACACTGATAAGTGTAAATAGAAAGAGACAGAGAGAGAGGTAGTATTCACCATGGATTGACATCAGTTGGGGTATCATTGAAAATCTGGGAGCAGTAGACAGCTGTTTCGTCTAGTGTGGCACTCTTTACCAGTAAGCATCCACGACCCGGCTATCGATTGAACTCAGAACTACCAAGGTTTCACGGCGAACGCGCTAACCATTCAGTCACTGGGTCGATTTTCAGTGGTTCACAGTTTCCAACTTCTGTCGATTCATGACTATCACCCAAGGTCTTCAATTGGCATCCGCTTCCCTTCCGACTGGTTGATGCCACAGGTCACGACTTCCCATTAGAACTTCGTGATATCCATCTGAAGGCATGTTACTAATGAAAACTATACAGTAATGTGTTTCTGAGATGAATGGGGATTTTTAGTTTAGAGGCTAAATGATTAACGTGCTCGTTATCAAACCTGAAGGTCCTGAGTTCGATCCCTAACCGAGTCGTGGGTGCGTACTGCTGAGGAGTGCCCCAAATGATATCAGTTCATGATGAATAATACCTCTAAATTAAAAAATCCCCATTCATCTCAAAAATACACTATGTATATATATACTTCTCATCCCTATACAGAATTGGATTGCTCGACCTTTGTTGATAGATGGGCTCCCACGTGGATGTCTCCATATTGCTGAACATTCATTATATTGTACTCATCTTGGAAACTTGCAGTGGAATCCAGGAAGCGTATTTCGTCCTATTTGGGATTTACTAGTCAGATGAATGTACCTGGATCCCAGTGAGCGATTCCGTTCCCACTCGGAGGTGAGTACATCCAGTTGACGAGTTTCAAATAGGATAAAACGTGAGTCCTGGATTCTACTGCAAGTTACCGAGATGAATCAGCATTTCCAAAATGTCTTCTTCTTTTTCTGATTTATTGCAAAGATCAACACAGCAATTAGTAATGGGTGATTCAGATTAGGCATGAGTCCTACTGATGAGTGACAATAAACTTGGAATCTAAGTTAAGCAGGGACTCTTGCCAATCCCCTTCAGTTAACTAACTAACAGACCATAATTAGATAAATGCAATTTTCTCTAGTTACAATCAATTGCCTACTTAATTGTACTAGTTTGTTTAAATATACTGATTCAAGTGTCAACAACAACACATTGGTTAGTTACCGGTAGTTGAGTTGAATATAGATAGAATTTATTGCAAAAGTTAGGTTTAATGATGACAGTTCTGTAAGACAGTTATATCATGTTAGAAAACACCGACATATTCGTAAGATAAAGGTTACTACTAAATCGACTAATGGAAGTCATGCTAATTATTTCTTATTAATTTACTTTCTGTAAATACTATCAGTTGAACTCACCTCGATATCTCCTCCTCCTCCTCCTCCTCACTATGAATAAGTCAAGTGAACAAACCAACATACACACACAAACAAAAAATATACACAATCATAAACAATAATTATATTTAAAACAATTAGTTCCCTTTAATAAACTTCGACAAAACGATAAAAAGAAGTAAATTATCTGAACTGTATAATGTGCATTTGAGTAACACAATTCGAACTATCTGATAACACACACACACACGTACTTGTCATATGAAAATTTATGAGGATTAGGATGAGAAAATGAAAAGAGATCAAGTAAAAAGGTTGAAAATCAAAGAAAGATGTCGTTATCAGTCTTCCATACAAATGTAACTCTCATAGTGAAATCCTTAAACCAGAGACTTAGAAGGACTTACTATGCAGCCAAGATTCGATTACTAGAAATCACCAAATCCCCAACAGTATGTGAACAATAATGTCACATCTATCGCATCTACCAATTCAAATGTACATGTGGTGACACATACATAGGAAGGAATCACAGATTCATACAAGTAAAGGTCTCGGAACGTATTCCAAAGTGGCTTCATAAACAAATTAAATCGCCTGAACCTATAAACGTTGATAAAAGGTGTCCAAGTTCCTTGATCGCAAAGCATATCGTTGAGACAGGTCACAGGATTGACAGGGCTGTTTCCTTTAGACCTACTTACAAGAAGTGTTCGGGACGGATCCATAAATTTGTTGAGATCTTAGCTATTAGGAAGTTCAAACCATATTTGTGTTCGAAAACAATTTGTTATCACATCAAATCTCTCTTCGTGAATTGAAAGCTGAAACCAAGTTCGTTGTACTACTATTTTCGCCCTATTGATTTTCATTTGTTATTCAGCTTTTAAATCAGCCTTCCTACTTGACCTCTTTTCATTTTTTCACCTCTTATCTTCGTGAATTTTCATATAAACAGCTATGACAAATAAGCGTGGAGTAACTTTAAAGGTGCCACCCTAGCAACAACTAAAATTATCAACCACACTTTATTTTATGAAAGTCTGCCTTATCATTTGACTCTGTGAGATAGCCGTAGTTTCGCAGACTAGTATTTATACTGGGTGATGATCGAAGGTGAGGTGAAGATTTGTACCACAGCCGGATTCGAACCAGCGACCACCGGGTTTTCAATGCTCTACCTCGTAGCTCAGTTGGTAGAGCATCGAACTGGTTCGAACCCGACCGCGGACCAAATTTCCACCTCAACTTCAACCATCACCCAGTATATACATCTGCCTTTCCAGTCGAAATGAAGAAAGCTAGTTGATTATTTCGATAGTTGCTAGGATGGCCTTTAAAGTCACCCTAAGTGTGTGATCAGATAATTCGAAATATGTTGCGCAAATGCACATTACAGTTCAGACAATTTACGTCTTCTTATTGTTTTGCCCAATAATTATATGAAATATAACATATATTCAATATATGAGCAATGATCATGAGTGAATCAACCTTCCTTGTAACTAAGTGGTTATTTTTAAGGTTGTATTCATCATTCATCAGTTGGACAACCAGTTAGAAAACCTGGGGAAACTAAACAGAGACTGTTTCATTCTAGTACAGAACTCCTCAGCAGTACACATCCACAAGCCAGCTTTGCCAGGGATCGAACTCAAGACTTTCGGGTTTCATAGCAAACGTGTTGACCATTTAGTCAATTATTTGATAAAAGAAATTCTGAATAACCCATTAACTATCATTGAACTCACATCTTGTTTTATTGTTATTCACATGAGAAATAGTAGGACTGATTTTATCAGGAATTTGTCTACGCTCTCTTGACACATAATCTGGTGATGAAATTGTAACCGAATCAGCAGTTTTAATAGGATTAGTAGGTAGTTGAGATGAATTTGACAGATCATCAGCTGCTGAATAACCAGTCTCTGAAGTAATAACACTACTTGGTCGGCTACTATTAATTGCTGACAATGACATATCAACTAGAGCACGTATATAACGTATATGCTCTTTGGAGGCAGTTGCATGCGAAAATGAAGAGTCTACACCATCATCAACTAGAAAAAATTAAAAATAAACAAATAAATAAATTGGTGGATAAATAAACTACTATAAAGTATATCATAGACAATTAGTACGATCCATTCGTTAAAAAAGGACTCAAAATCTGCTTCCAGACCTTACATATAAGTACTGAAACACTAAGGGAATTTTACTGCAGTCACTTCAGTATTTCTGACCACTTAACACAGGATTAGATATAGGTGGCATTTTGAACATGAATAAACCTAGAGTTTTCTGAACACTTTGAGTAGGAATTTGAGAATGTTTGGGATACGATTTTCACCACCCAAATGCAAATTTTTGCTCCAGGATTGGTCTTCAGCGGTACCGCCGCTAACAAAAGAGAGTGAAGTGGTTGATTGTGTGTTGACCACTTCACTTACCTGGGAAGTAGGATCAACCCCGGTGGGTTAGTTGCCGATGAAATCTCTGCATGGATACAAAAGGCTCGATTGGCTTTTGCCAATTTCCGCCATCTATGGCGCTGCCGTGATATCCGATTGTCTATTAAGGGTCGTGTGTACTGCACAGCAGTCGGCTCTGTTCTACTGTGTGGCTGTGAAACATGGCATTCAAGGTGGAAGATATAAAAAGGCTTCAGGTGTTTGACCATCATTGTCTTCGTAGTATATGCCACAGTCCGTGGTGTCACCACCTGAGTAATGCAGAAGTCAGAAGTAGAGTTCTAGCGAGAAAAGACAAATCACTTGACGAGGTTATGAACCTTCATCGACTGAGATGGTTGGGACACGTACTACGTATGCTTAGTCACAGATTGCCTCATCACACAATGTTGGCCAAAGTAGGTTCAGGTTGGAAAAAGGCCCGAGGTGGTCAGACTAAAACATGGCATCAATGTATGAAGTCTCTGATTGTTGGTTTAAGCCATGTAGGACGATGCAGACTAGGTGGTTGGGGTCTGCGGGACAAGAGGAACCAGAGGTTGGAGACCCTAGGTGATATGGCTCAGAACCGATGTCAGTGGCGCAGATGTATACACACATTATCCTCATCTTAATAACGCTATGCCGAATCTCACCATTTTGTCACTCTACTTTCGTTTCTTCTCGTACCTTATATTTCTTTTGACTGCATTCACTTATCTTCATCCTTCACCTCACTACCTTTCTACTTGATGAACTGACGTGAGGTGTGGCAACTCGGACCGTTACGCAGTAATGCCTGGTCCTATGTTGATAATGATGATGATGATGATGACCTCCTCAAGGTATTCCCCTAGTGTGTAACCAGCAACCATGATGCTTTAACCATCAAAGTTTCAAATCAGTGACTTCAAGAGGTTACTGATTTCAATCCTGTCATAGACCAGATTCTCACTTCACCTTCAATCATCACATAGTATTTGTACAAGCTTACTAAACCACAGCTATCTCAAATAGTCAAACTGATGGGCATCAATTTCTTTATAAACTTCCTAAAGGTGAATTTAATTAATCAACTGCTCTTAGATGACAGTAAAAAAATGATGAAGAATGAAAGTATCAACTCATAAGTGAACAGAGTGAATTTCTTATAGGGGTGTCTGATAGTTATGAGTTAAACAACGAAAGTTTTAAAATGGAATTCAGCTTAGAACTCAGATCAGCACACATAGACTGTAGTGTTAAGATAAAAACAACACAATCAATAACATTATAGTTTAATAAATAGTTTACATACCATAATCTCCAGCATTACTCTTAGATGATGTTTTAATATTCTTAAATGTATTTAAAATCACATTTGATTGTATTTCACTACCACGTAATAGATAGGCTCCAGTCTCAGGATGTTGCCATGTGACTACAGGGAAACGACCACGTTTATGCGAACGTGCAACTTTAATCAAACAATTCTGACTAATACCCTTTTTTATGTGAGGAAAAAACAAAAGGAAACAAGATGAATTAGGCATTGAAGGGAATATTTTCGAAAACAATAAAAATTTAAACAATGCAAGTACAAAGACGTATTTGTAGAATAAAAGGAAGCCATTTCATTTCATCGCCATTCATCAGCTGCAAACAGTTTACAATTGAAATGAAATGTATTGGTAGTAATAATAATGGTATAACAACATACTTTAAATATGTAGAAAATGGAGATTTGAAATCCAGGATTAACAAATAAGGTAGCGAGTGAGTCAAGGAAATACAGGATTAGTGGATACAAATGTTGTTCAAAATCTGTGGCAGTTTATATCTGATGAGACAGAAAATTCTAGAGTTGTGGAGTGGATGAGACGGCGGGGGGGGGGATAATAAACGAGAATCAGTGTAAAAGAAGGGACTATTTAAGAGCTGGTAGATTACGTAACTACACGAAGAACTGGGAAATCGTTAAGTTAAATTTTTTGAGGGGGTTGTGGAGATTTGGAAATATTTCAAGTTGTTATTCATCGAAGACTGACATCAGTTGGAGGAACAAAGGAAACCTGGGTGCGCACTGCTGAGGAGTCCCATACTAGGACGAAACAGCTGTCCAGTGCTCCCAGGTTTCCTTTGTTCCTCCAACTGATGTCAGTCTTCGATGAATAACAACTTGAAATCGTTAAGTGATTAACAATCAATAAGTAATTAATGAAGAGGTGATGCAGCCAAAAGAAAAGGGAAGAGTGTATGCATGAACATCCATACATGCAAAAATTGTATGCAGTTACTAAGGTAATTACAATCCCTTTCTGAGTACATAGATCAGATTGAAAATGTTTGATAGCGAGAGCTTCTGCAAACTACAATAAAGATGGTGTTTTTTATTTGTTGATTATCCTGAAGAAGCGATAAACATCTATTTGATGTCCTGTTTCCAACAGATGCCTGGTGATTGCGCTGGTAAACACCTTCTTACCTTTTAGACGAAGATATCTCGGAATATGTTCATAAAATCGAGGATAATCAACAGACAGAGAATGTTATGTTTATTACGCTTTCCGAAAGCTCTGGTCGTCAAACATTTTCTACCTGACCTATGTACTCAGAAGTAGGTTGTAATAAACCTTTCTTTAGCTTGGTAACTGTATATCATTTTTACATGTGTATGCATAAACTCTTCCCTTTTCTTTTGGCTGCATCACCTCTTCGTTAATTACTTATTGATTGTTAATCACCTGACGATTTCCCAGTTCTTCGTGTAGTTACGTAATCTACCAGCTCTTAAATAGTCCCTTCTTTTACACTGATTCTCGTTTATTATCCCCCCCGCCGTCTCATCCACTCCACAACTCTAGAATTTTCTGTCTCATCAGATATAAACTGCCACAGATTTTGAACAACATTTGTATCCACTAATCCTGTATTTCCTTGACTCACTCGCTACCTTATTTGTTAATCCTGGATTTCAAATCTCCATTTTCTACATATTTAAAGTATGTTGTTATACCATTATTATTACTACCAATACATTTCATTTCAATTGTAAACTGTTTGCAGCTGATGAATGGCGATGAAATGAAATGGCTTCCTTATATTCTGCAAATACGTCTTGTTCTTGCATTATTCAAATTAGTCAAAGGAACTGAATGCATGAAATGAAAATTTAGTCCCTATGGAATCGAATACATTAGTATACGCATAACTTTGAACAGTATAGAGAGACAAGACGTTAACAAGAAAAAGAACTAGTGGTGACATGGTAACCACCATGCGCATAGAAATTAACCAACGTGATAAAATGTAAGTCCACATTATACCTGTTTATTTGATATAGTACATAGTGAAATAGCATCATTTGCTGACTTCATTTACTATTTATTACAACTATTATCATTGAGGTCGTATTATTACGAGCTGATATCAGCTGGACCATTAACGGGAGAAACTTAAAGGAAGTAATTCCCTTCACCTACACCTATCTAGGCAGCACTGTTTCAACTACAGGCGGCGGTGGCACAGACGAGGATGTCAAAGCAAGCCAAGATCAGAAAGACAGCAAGACAGACGTTCATTAGCCTGAAACAGTGTGGAGATCTTCTGCACTCCACTCAGCATAAAGCGTGAACAACATCTGGATTTTCAACACCAACGTCAAGTCAGTGCTTCTGTGTGGTGGTTGAGAGACTTGGCGCGTTACGAAAGGCATTTCCAACAAACTACAGAAATTCATCAACAACTGCCGCCTACGCTGGCTCGTTACTGAAGATCAGATGGATTGCCAGAATAATGAGAATAAACAACAAGGAACTCTGGCTCGTGACGAATCAACGAGGCAATAACCTATCGCTGAAGGAATATGCAGTGAAAGGAAGTGGAGATGGATTGGATTGGATTGGGCATAAAGTGAGAAGGCGGACTGGGGACATCAGGCGTCGGGCCAGGCCATACCAGGCCAGTTGCTCGAGTGGAACCCCGATGGGAAGCGATGAGTTGGGCGTCCGAGGTGAGGGTGACATAGAGGAGATCTTGTGAGGAAGAAATGAGAGCTTCTGGGCTGTCGTGGAACCAGGTTGAAAAGATTTCAGAGAGCAGAGTGGAGTGGAGACGTGCTACTGAAGCCCTATGTCCCATTAGGAACCCTAGGAACAAATAATAATATATAATATATCAGTTGGACAACCAATGACAACCTGGTATTATTGGACAGCTGTTCTGTCCTAGTATGAAACTATTCGGGAGTACACACCTACGACCCTGTCCCACCAGTGATAGAACTGAACTCAACACCTCAAGTTAGGGTTGGAGTTAAGTGGCCCACGACGTAGAGCAATTATCCATTAAGATCTTCAGTTAAGATCCACTTCACTTCCTATTGGGTGATCACACTGCTCAAAGCTTCTCATTAGAATTTCAGGATATGCATCTGGAAGCATGTCACCAGTGAAGGATATAACCGTAACGGAGTCATGGGTGTTGAGGATGAAATAGTCACTGATTAAAACTTCCAGGTTTTCAATAGTTCTCCTGCTGACGTCAGTCCATGATGAATACAACCTTACAAATAAAATCTCCATGATCCTGAAACTAATATTTATAAACTGTATTCGATTTATTTACTAATTTGTTGAATAAACGCAGTTATATTCGGTTGCATATATATATATATATATATATATATATATATATATATATATATATATATATATATTCAGCGGCCATGGAGAAGGCGAAGATAATTAAAAGTGGAAAAACTGCCTGCCAGCCAGCCAGCCAGCCAGCCACAGTTCCTCCTTGCTTATTCCTGCTTATTATTCTCGACATCTCATCTCCACTCCATCTTCACTATCGAATGAGCGTAGTCGGTGGCTGTTCATGATGTATGTGTACAGTTTGTTGGAAATGCTTTCGTAACACGTCAAGTCTCTCAGCCATCACATAGAAGCAAGCACTGATTGACTTGACTGAATTAGTGTTGAAAATCCGTGTCTTGTTCACGCTTTATGCTGAGTGGAGTGCAGTAGATATCCACACTGATTATTTCAGATTAATGCAGGGAGGCCTATCTTGCTGTCTTTCCGATCCTGGCTGCTTTGAAATCGTCGTCGATGCCACCACCATCTGTAGTTGAGACGATGCTGCTTTGCTCTGCCCTGCCTAGGCTGGGTAGGTGTAGGTGAATGAGACAATTTTGCTTACATTTCTCCCACTGATGGTGACTGATGCTTGTTGTTGTTGTTTTTGTTGGTTGGGTATCCTCATCACCCCGGTCTTCTCTACGTTCACCTGAAGGAAGTCCCGTCTTCACTGCCCCACCTCTCCTGTTAACTTGTCAGTTTTTGCCTGTTGGTCCTCGAGTTTGTAAGACATTAGACGTTAATCATGATCGCTGGCGAAATCTAAATCTGCATGTTGTTGCATGATCCAGTAGAGTCCAATCGACCACAATCAGGCAGATCATATGTGATAGTAGGTAACCTTGTCTTACTCCTGTCTTCACTTTGAAGGCATCACTGAGCTTTTCATTGTGTATCACTTGACAAAGTATATTTATTACTGTGGTGCAAATAATAAACTTATGAATATTCTTTGATAACATTGAAACTGAATACCATCAATTCAGTTGCTTAGAGTATAGGTTTATATAACTCTACATGAAAAGTGATGTAATTTTCAACAGTAGAATCAATACGATATCAAAGTCCAATCAGTGTGGACGACTTTCAAGACCACTCTAGCAACAACTGAAATAGTCAGTTAGATTTCTCTACTTTATATGAATCTGATTTTATAGCTAAAATGAAGAGATCGAATTCGTTATTTCGACCGTTTCTAGGATGGCCTTTAAAATAACCCACTACTGCAGCACTAATGCTTTATTAGAGACAGAACTAAGCAATCGAATTCTGTATCATTGACCTCACTTTTACTGATATAAATAAATAAATAAAACTTCACATTATTAGAAAGTGAATAATTAAGTAAAATTTTGTAACGAAAGAAAAAAAAGTCAATAAATTACTTGTGGTACAATAAAAAGACTTGGATAAGATTTCACCAAGGTATGATGAACATTGAATGCTACAAGATGAGCAGCACAATACATTCGACTACCAACACTACTTCCAGCTCCATAAGTAGAACGATTCAGAGAGCCAGTACAATCATTTATTACTCTAGAATAATTAATTTGTGATGTTGCCGCTGCTATTGTCACCATTGTGTTAGCAGTATTTCCACTTACATTAATACCAAAACGTGCCATATCTAAATATCCTGAAGAGTCAGTTATTAATCTGATAAGATTTGGATCAATTACTGTAGCAGCTGATGATGAAGCTGATAAAGTTGGAGGTGATAAAAATGACTTGATTGCAGATGCTAAATTAGCGGCTGCTTCTTCGATATACATGTCTATATTAAGGTAAGAGAAGGGAAAAAAAATTACAACAAAAATTCATGGCTTTCATTATGGGAATTTCAAGTTGAACCTTGCACATGAGTTTATTGGTTTAAGTTGCCACACTTCACTGTGGTAAATAAAGGCAATTGAATAGAAAACGAGTGATATCAAAGTAGACAAAGTTGTCTGATAGAATAAACAATTGGAAGATAGCGGTTAGTATGAATATTCAAGCTTTAGAAGGCATTATCTACGCTATTGTTATCGATTTTCTCTCATGTCACCAGTAGTCTTCAACCACTGATTCATTTCGTCTTGATGATGCTAACAAGATGGTCTACATCTTTCTACATGGCTGAGACTAATAGTCACAGACTTCATAGACTAGTGTCTAACCACCCTGAATCCTCTTACAACCCAATTCAACTTCCTTTAACATTACACGTCAAAGCAGGCGATATATTCTACAACAGCAGTGTGCATACTTGAAACTACTTAGCTCTTCAATCGTATACATATACGTAGTATTAAGGTGATTCAGAAGTTGGAAGATTTATACAATATTTACTGGTTTCTTTGGCTGATAACAACTACAATAAAAGACTGAACAATAATTGAACAATTCACTCTAGTGGTATTCACAATGGGATTGTTCTACCTAAATTCGATGTTATCTTGAAGAACTAAGGTATTTTAATTACGTCATGGTTTATTCGATGGTTAACGGTGGAATCCAGGATGTGCATTTCATTCTTTTTGGAACTCATGAGATGGATTTATCTGCACCACAGTGAGCAATGATTCTTTTACACAGAAGAGATTCACATTTTCCCTCTTCAAGTTAGAACAACTTGACAAAAACGATAATTTATCTATTATCATAATGAAAGTTCAGAAGGTTACGATCTCTGAAAGGTCCTTTATAATCGTCAACAAGAATAGTTGAGTAGCGTTGAGCCAAGGGAGAAGTAAAGGATAAAAATAAGTTTCATCCTATAAAACGAAAAAACATCATTTAAAATGCTCAATATGCAGTCTCATCATTATAAAGACGTTATATAACGGGCTGAAAACCAAATTAGCGAAGTTTTCAAACTACTTGCAAAAAAAAACAACAATTATTCAATACTTTTGGTTTTCAATCTGGAGGTTTATGGAGATTTATTAATTAATTCTAGGTTGGAATTCATCATAGATTGAGATCAGTTGGAGAAACACTGGAAACCTGAGAACACTGGACAGCTGCTTCCTCCTCCTCAGTAGTGCGCACCCATGACCCCCCATCCACCTACCAGGAGTCCAACTCAACCTTCAGGTTCCGCGGTTAGCACGTTACCAGTCAGCCACTAGGTCAGTATCCAATGGTTCATATTTCTTACTGCTATCAGTTCACCATATATCACAACTTCCATTCAATTGTACAAATTTCCAACTTGGTTGGTCTCACCAGTGATAACTTCTCATTGGAATTTCATGAACCACTTCTCAAAACGAATGACCAATAGCACTAGATTAGTTCAATTCGAGGTGGGTTAATGGGGATTTATTTATTGATTTCAAGTTGCCATTCATCATGGAATCAATAAATAAATCCCGACAAACCTCTAAGTTGAACACTCAAAGAATGTTCACTGGTATGACTGAACACACACACACACTGAATGATAAAGTTGTAGGCAATTAAGACAGACATTATCTTTCATTATTTCTCATCGACTACGCATCAAAAAAGGATTTTATCACAAAAACAAGGAGATCAAGGTACATTTATATGGTCGTAGGTGAACTTTGAACTGTAAGTTACAAATTACGTAACTATTCGATTCGACTCAGAAAGACTGAAGGTATGACTCATTAGTCTAGGGAGATAACTTTCAACCAGTGGGTTACGGGTCCGAACCCCGCTTTAACCTTAAACGAGGTTTACACAACCAGATAGTATTATTAGATCTCACAAAATGGGTATGATTCATTATCTACAGTGTACACGATTGATGAACTGACTTCCTTCCTTTCCAGATTAAGAAGAAAATACAGATATATGACATCGAGAAAAATCCTAATAGCTTGCATATATTTCTTTCAGCACTTTTTCAAAACTCATTGTATAACTCCGGTTTACAATGAAACTGAAACACTGGTATGGTTTATGTTGTTTATGTTTTTTTTTTATGAACTTATTATCAATGAAGATGATATTCAGTATTCTCATTTATTAAGCAAATATCAGTTAGATTTTGACCTACTGTGATAGTAAAATCCCGAAGGTATAAAACAATCCCCCCCCCTCAGAAGAATTATCTTCTTGGGAGAAAAAAAATGCAAAATATGCTTCATATTGTTATTTACTTGATATGGAATACCACTAAAATGGAACTAACTAACTGACAAAATTAAAGTAGAACCTCATACACAAGTGCATCGGTTCAATTTGCCACTTCATAGTAGCATACAAAGAACAGGGTTGAGTGAGAGAATGAGCATCTCAAAGATAACAGTAAATGGAGATATTTAATCTTTAGAAGACGTCGAACAGTGAATAAATCTGCTCTATTATCACCGATTTTTAGCCATATGACCAACAGTCTTCAACCACTGGTTCCTTTCGTCTCGCAGACCCGAAACCAGGCAGTCGACATCGCTCAATATGACTCAGGCCAAAAGTCATGGACTTCATCGACTGGTGCCATGTCTTGGTCTGACCATCCTGAATCCTCTTTCAACCTAATCCAACCTCCCCTAGCATAGCATGTCAAGGTAAACTCTAGCTCGGTTTGCGCAACAGATAACCAATCCACCTCAGCCGATGAAGGCTTACAACCTCGTCAATCAACTTGCCATCCCGCCTTCCCAAGTACTCTTTACCTGACCTCAACATTGCTCATACAGTGATTTCACCAAACACGAGCAATGCTATGGAGATATCTGTGATCAAAACCCTACTTTCAACGGGCACGTCTCACAGCTGTGTAACAGAATAGAACGGACTACAGCGCAGTATATTAGTCATTTGATAGATATAATGGATATCTCGCCAGCCGGTGAGACAGATGACGCAAGTTAGCAAATGTCAATCAGGCCTTCTGTATCCAAGCTGAAATTACGTCAGTAACCAACCTGTTCATGCTAGAATGTTAATCAAAATTCATTTCAAACTAAAAATTATTCAGTGCAACTTCAATCCCGAGGTTTGTAGGATTTTATTTATTTCAAGTTGGTATTTATCACAAAAGACATCAGTTGGAGAACCACTAAAAACCTGACAGCACTGGGTATCCGTTTCGTCGTAGTATGTCAGGGATACAACCTAAGACTTTTCGATCCTACCACAGGTAAGTGGTAATGGAGTCATGGGGTCGGGATCCAATAACTCATATTTTCCTACTTGTGTCAATTCGTGATGTGGTGTAACATTTATCCAATGTTATTGCTGAGTGTTTACCCTCATGTCCGACTTGGTTTGCCCAACTGGTCAGGACTTATCAACAGAACTTCAAGAAATCTAATCTCGAAGCCAGTCACTAGTCAGTACTGTTCAACGCTCTGAGGTTTTCAATGGTTTACCAACTGACATCAGTTTCTTATGAATATCAACTTACAATCAGTGCAACGTATTAGTAGAGATAAGCACCTCAGAGTTGTATAATTATCTATCATTAAAGGTTAATCAGAACTTACTATTGGGGAAAGGCGAAGATGTAATGTAATTTATTTGGTTGCATCGATTACTTCTAGGAGACCAAGGAGTCAATTGAGAAGAAACACTTTTATTGTCAAGGCTGATGGATTGTTGGTTACATATGTACGTCTGAAAAGAAGGAAATAATACATGAGTATAAATTGCTTATGAATTCATAGTGACAAAAGTATCAAAAATACGCCTAAATGACTGCATTTCCATACAAGGAGAGAAACCATAGACGATACATCATCATCATGTCGTCATCATCAAGAAGAAAGTGGATGTCAACAAGAGAAAAAGTAATGAAATGGAAATAAAAAGACAAGTACAAAAGGAGAGTAAAATAACAAAGATATACAAACACTCAAATTTTAGTTCCAACTATTTTACTGCATTAACACTAAAAGCGATGAGCTATTCGCTATAGAGTAGAAAACGCACTCATGAACATTACCCGACCTGGTTGCTATAGGGTAGGCTGAAAACTGTCTCCAACTCCGTCGTTTAATATCTCGTAGACTCTAGATATCTATCCCCCTCCCCACGGTGAGAACCTTGTTCAAATTTCTTGATAACGTTTGTTGGTTGATGTGATGATATGATGTTTAAAATAACGATGGAGATGATAATACAAATAATAATAATGATAATGATAAAGTGATAACGTTGACTAAAGCATATGCAACATAAATGATGATAATGATGATAAGAACCAAGAAGTAGCATGAAAATGTAAACACTGCGATAATCAAAATGGGTCAAAATCTTGTGAAAATAAAGGTTGCGTAATAGTGAAGGGCTACCTTGTCAAATCCCAAAGAAAGAAGGCCTAATGCTTTACAAGAACTGGCGCGGAATCATGCAGCTGTCCACCCTAAGCAAAACATCAAGCCGCATCATCCTAGAGAGACTAAAGGATGCTCTGGATTCAAAATTGCGACCGGAACAGCCTAGCTTCAGGAAGAACAAATCATGTGCCGATCAAATTGTAACGCTACGCTACGCATCATCATAGAATAGAGTAGAGAATGGCAGTCATCTCAACCTCAACTTCATCGACTTTGAAAAGGCCTTCGACGGTGTCAAGTGAAAAGTAATTTGGCAACTTCTTCAACACTAAGGAGTACCACTAGTCTTTACCAGCCTCATTCAACAGCTATATGAAGATGCCACATGTCGAGTGATCCACAATGGAAGGCTCAGTGACCCCTTTGAAGTGGAGACAGGGGACATGAGTAAGACAAGGCTGCAGCCTACTATCACCCATGATCTCCCTGATTGTGGTCGACTGGATCATACAACAAACAGTGAGGAGCAAGAAGATGGGCATATGCTGGCTGGACCGATGAAAAGACCCGAGAAGGAGATTTGAATTTCGCCGGCGATGATGATTCATGTCTAATGTCGAACAAGCTCGAAGATGTACAGGCGGGCAGCATCGTTTCAACTACAGGCGGCACAGACGAGGATGTCAAAGCCAGGATCAAAAAAGCAAGACAGGCTTTCACTGATCTGAAATCAGTGTGGACATCAATAGCACAAAGAACAAGATCCAGATTATTAACACCAACGTCAAAAGTCAGTGCTACTGTATGGTTCAAAAACTTGGTGCGCCATGAAAAGCATTTCCAACAAACTACAGACATTCATCAACAGCTACCTACGCTAGCTCGATACTGAAGATCAGATGGCCAGAATAATAAGAATTAGCAACAAGGAACGCTGGCAACAAACTAACCGAGAACCTATCACTGAACAAATATGCAGAGGAAGAAAGTGGAGATGGATTGGGCATACAGTGAGAAGGCCGACTGGGAACATCACACGCCAGGCACTCGAGTAGAATCCATTTGGGAAACGACGAGTTGGGCGTCACAGCTGCTGAGGGTGACATGGAGGAGATCATGTGAGAAGAAATGAAAGCTTGTGGGCAGTCATGGCGGCAGGTTGAAAAGACTGCAGGGAACAGAGTGCACTGGAGGCGTGCTACTGAAGCCCTATGTTTCACTAGGAACCCAAGTGACAAATAATAACAATAATAGTGAAGGGGAGATAAGTGGATAAACAAAGTCTAGATAAATACAGTAAGTATTATTTAACGTTATCCCTTTATCATTACCATTATTTGTATTATTATCTCCATCGTTATTTTAAACATCGCATCATCATAGCAACCAACAAATCGATATTATTGGTTTAATTAAACACTCCCTAAAGAAAGCTAAAAGATACAGGTTGGACATAAGTATAAAGCTTACACAAAACATTTCTACAAACCGTGTTAACGAACGGAATCATATATCAAGATGAAGTCAAAAAGCATACTTCAATGTATCAGTACTTCATAAGTTGATATGGAGAAAACTTTTGAAAATGGGAAACTTAAAATATGAGTTTGTTGTTCTTAGAAGACAGTTTTCATCTGATGATTATTCTCTTTACAGTTTTGGTACTGCGTAATGACTAAAGGCGGAATGAAAACCTTTTCAACCACGGTAGGACTCGAACCAGCGACCACCGGGTTTCTGATCCGGTGGTCTGCTAACTGAGCTATGCGATCCAACATCTGACCAAGTTTTTATCTCACTTCAATTCATATATGGCAGAATAAGCAACAAGGAATTCTGGCTGGTTGACAACGAACCAACCAATCAAGAACGTATCGCCCAACAAATATACAGTAGAAGAAAGTGGAGATGGATTGGGCATAAACTGAGAAAACGATTTGGGGACACCATGCGCCAGGCCCTCGAGTGGAAGCCGAAAGGGAAATGACGAGTTTGGCGTCCTAATCGAAGGAGATGGTGTAGGGAAGAGATGAAAGCTTCTGGGCAGTGGTGCAGCCAGGTTGAAAAGACTGGAGAAAAGAGAGTGAAATGGTGACGTGCTAGTGATTCCGTATGTTCCACCAGGAACCCAAGGGACAAATAATAATAATAATAATACATGGGCATTTAGATAACTAAGCTTTGAACAATCAAACAAATTATTATGTGATATATGAAAATATCAAATTACGAGTAAAGTAAGAAAAAAAAAGTAAATAAATAAACACTTTGAATGACCTGAATTTTAAATACCTGCGATCTCGATTCATTAACGCAGAATAATTTGAATCATTTAGTGTAACATTTCGATTGGTTTTACCTTTCAAATGTCGCATACGCATCATACCTGATGATATATATTCCTTAGTATTACCAACACTATTATTAGGGAAATTTGAATGAATACTTGAAAGTATATTAATGTTATCCATCATACTATTAGTTCGTGAAAGTACTAAACCTAATGGAGCTGAATTAAATCCCATGCATAACATTGATGGATAACGTAATTCTTCAAGTAGATTACGTAATTCATCTCTTGTCTCTTGTTGTATTTCACCAACATCAAAACCAATTTTAAGCATTTGAAATGTTAATGCACGTAATAGGATAACATCTAAATTTTCTGTACGATAAACTACACCATTACGATTTGTTGTTGTCGTTGTATATGTAGAACGTGATGATGATGATGGTGACAGATATTTTGATGAAATATTTTTACCATACATTGTATATGATTTTGATTTTTTGCCAGCAAATAATGTTGCTGAACGAAATCCAGAAATAGATGTCATTGTTGTTAAAGCACCAGGATTTATTGTTGATGATGATGATGGAAAAGTTGTAATTAATTGAATATATCCAAGCTTTTTGATATTACTTAAGCAGAAATTGGAAAACTTCGATTGATCACTTTATTCGATTCTAAATGTATAAGAGTAAGAAAAGTTCAGAAAGTAAATAATTAGATAGAAATCAGTTATGACTATTTTTCAGTGTGAGTGATCGATTTCCCTCAACTTAGATTCATTTGTAAGGAATTCATCAATAAGCCTCATAGTTATTTAAAGTAAATAATTGCTAAAAAATATGATATTTCATGTATTATCCTTGTTGTTGATTGGATAGGATTGATTGCTCTCTATGACCATATGGGCTCCCGAGTAGAGGCCACCGTGAATCTAAGCCTCAAAGATGATAATGCTGCTGGCATTCTAAAAAGGAGGATATCAAGCACTCTAAGGAGAACATTCTTTGCATCAATACTGAGAATAGTATTTTCTTATCGCCCAATGATTTCCAACAACTCTTAGGAGAAACTTTCACATCTGACCATTTCTATGTGCATATATCAATTCACTTGCTCCTGTGGAGCCAGGTATACAGGTCGTCCGATGCGAGTGTTATCCAAAAAGGTTCAAGAACACTATCCCACGTGGTTACAAAAGAGCAATGAGGAGTGCTTTAATTGAGCACATCGTGAACACGAATCGGCCTATCTCAAGAACGTCCTCATTCAAAGTCATCTATAAAGTGAAAAGACACTTTCCAAAGTCTGTATGTCTTCGTATTCTCTGCAGAAATGAAGTGCTTGATATCCTTCTTTTTAGAGTGTTAGTGTCAAAATCACCTTCGAGGTTTAGATTCGTATAGAGTGTCTTTTTTGGCTTCATCTGTTTGTCGATGAAGTGTGATGGGGATCCGTTTTCAATTAAAGTATTCTTTACAACAGAAATTTCCTCTTCTAATACATCAGGACTGCAGATTCGTTTGATGTGAATGACAAGAGATATGATCGGATTTCGCTCACAACTCACAGGACCCCTTTTCCTTTCATGGTGTCAGTTTTCAGTCTCCTCTACCCCACCTACTATTTAACTTTTCATTCTTCTGTTTGACATTATTCACTTCTTAAGTAATTAGCCACTAATTCTTGTTGATATGCTCTATATGATGACAAGTCAGTTTCCAACTATGTCATCATGTTACGAACTTCTTGTTCAAAATTATTTTTACGAATATTCACTACTCACCAGTTTTTACTTTTTTGATTTTAATGAGAGCTCATTTACTAACATTATTTATGTTGCTTGCCATGCTTGACAAACAGCTTTTAACTATCACATCCTTACACTAGAAAAAAATGTATAAATTTGCAATTGTATACAACTTTGAAAATGAAATTGCCGAAAAGAGACTCTTCGCTGAAATATACTTGATCTTCTTTCATATCCAGATGGGTATATTTCACACATTATTACTTTCTTACAATGTGGTGATATGAGATGTGACAACTTAGACCCTTATACAATAATACCCGATCCTGTGTTGATCTTGTCTATTCTGTCCCAGTGGATAGTGGTGAGACACTGTCTACTGTTATCTATTGTCGCTACCTTTCCCATCTCTTTAGCCTTCCTTCAACACTACAGTTTCCATTCATTGTGTAAACTTCTCATCAGGCTACATTTCAGTTGATTATGCTCCTCATAGTTGTCCGGGTCTGTAGAGGTGCGTTCGCGTGCATTCACTAATCCAGAAACTGCTGAGATCTGTTGGCCCTTTCTAACCACTCTCCGAGAGTCAGCCAGCCACGCTGTTTCTATAGCAGACTAAAAATGGCACCGGGCTTTTTTTGCATTAGTAGTGTAGTTCTGTGTCGTGTGCCACTTTTATGGCTGACCTTTTCTAACCCGGTTTCCTATGGAGGAGGCAGAATCAGAATGACACTGCTGGTCATCCAAGAGAAACACTTTACTGCTATCATACTCCGACCAGCCGGAAGTTCGACTTCGCTTCCGGACTCACAACAAGCGTAGCGATAACGGTAACTACTCCTTGTCTTACTACTATTCAACAGACCTTTCTGGTATGGTAGGACCATGAGAGAACAAGCGTTCCATATCTCACATGTCTCACTGGGCTGTTATGGTGGACATGTCTGGCCACAACTTCAAGGTAACAGCTGGTGGTTGGGATTACAGGTGACCGCAGAAATTCACCAAGGATAGAACTTTATATTAAACTGTTGTTATTCACTTGACAGAATGCGTCTCGCCCAAGCGATCTGGACGTAACCAAGGCTATTGAGAAAGCTAGTTTCAAACTTACATAACTTATCACTGTAGCCCGTATACCTCTAGATATACTGGATGAAAAAGGAGTGAACAGAGTTGTGTTACAGAAATCATTACAAAATTACGCACCGATTATATGCAAAATTCAGTTTCATCAATGATAGTCACAAGATCGTGTTATAAACCGGGAATAAGGTGATTATTCCATTTGAAAGATTACACACAGTAACTGATTTCAAACTTACGGAATGGATCTTTTGGTACACCAGTAAATATTATTCGATAATTTGTAACAAATAATGCTCCTTGAGCAGGCAGTAGTGGTCTAAGCATAACATCGACTTCCATATCATTCGATTCATTGTTCCCAAATGAATCTTGTTTATCATTATATCCATTGGTATCGTTACCAGCCACATTAGTATTACTATTGGTATTGGAAATAATAGGGAACGAATCTAACGGTTGATAATCACTACGTTCATATCGTCCATCTGGTAAGAGTTGACATGATAAACAATCATAACCACCGATTGGAATGGCTATTTCACCAGGTAGAAGAACTGGATTAGCAATTTCAGGCTATAAAAAAGAAATCGAAGTATGAAGTTGACTTGACAACCAGTATATAAAAAGCTGTGAACAATTTCATCTACTTCAGAGAACTTTCAGCTTTGATAGTATAATATTGAATGAATTATAGTCTGATATTCAAATTTCTATGTGGTTACTGAGGTATAAGGGGTGAGATAGCACAGCAGTCCGGTCTGTTCTACTGTATGGCTGCGAAACATGCCATTCAAGGTGGAAGATATAAAAAGGCTTCAGGTGTTTGACCATCATTGTCTTCGTAGTATATGCCACAGTCCGTGGTGTCACCACCTGAGTAATGCAGAAGTCAGAAGTAGAGTTCTAGCGAGAAAAGACAAATCACTTGACGAGGTTATGAACCTTCATCGACTGAGATGGTTGGGACACGTACTACGTATGCCTAGTCGCCGATTGCCTCATCACACAATGTTGGCCGAAGTAGGTCCAGGTTGGAAAAAGGCCCAAGGTGGTCAGACTAAAACATGGCACCATTTTATGCCGTCTTTAACTGTTGGTTTGAGCCATGTGGGGTGGTGCAGACTAGTCAGTTGGGGTCTGCGGGACGAGAGGAACTAGTGGTTGGAGACTCTAGGCGATATGGCCGAGAATCGATGTCAGTGGCGCAGATGTATACACACATTATCCTCATCTTAACGATGCTACACCGAATCTCACAATTTTCTTATTCTTCATTTCTCTGTTTTAGTACTTCATACTTCTTTTGACTGGATTTTCCTATCTTCATCTTGCACCTCACTCCCTTCTTGATGTACTGATATGAGGTGTGGCAACTCGGACCGTTACACAGTAATGCCTGGTCCTATGTTGATATTGATGATGATGATAGCAAGAATGCATTAAAGTACAAAGAAATCTAAAATTATGAACACAAATGAAAAAAATCTGCTATTCGGTTTTATTTTGTACCATTGAAAACCAACTTGTTATGCATACATCTATATGCCAACACAGACAAGGTCCTAACATATGGTTTGCAAAAATCTATATAATAATGAAAGTGTAGAAAACATAGAATCTCAAGCGGGACATCACTTCCGTAAAGATTGAAGATATGCCTTGCTGACGAGTGCCAAAAAGTAAGAAACCCAGGTGGAGCCAGGATTCCTGCAGATTGCTTCCAGTCAACTAACACCTATCTATCAACGTTCATCATCAACTAGCCTAGTGGTCACATTGTAAAATGGTCGATAAAATTGATTCAGCGCCAAGGACTACATAACATGAAGTTGGTTATCTTTTTTTAGTGAAGAGATCAGTCGCTGACTTAATAGCTCGGTGATAATGTCTCCGAATGCAGCACTGGGTAATGCGGGTTTGAATCTCGGATGAGACAACAGTTCCTGAGCGGTTGGAGATATTCGCCTCACTGATGACTGCCAAAAAACACAAAACCTAGGTCCAAGGCTTCCTCCTGATTACTTTCTAATGCCTTTCTGTTAACACTTTAAATATGGGTCGGATAATAAGATTGCATTATTATTTACAAACTATCTTTATCATTGAAACTTCTTTGTTCTTCAAATTTTGTGATGAATAGACAATTCTAAAAAACAGCACAACTCATGAATGTAAACATTATCAGCTCCTTGGTTAGATTATGTTCTCTGAGCGTGATTGTTTAATCGTGAAGCTTTTGTCGCCTTTCTACACGACATCATACTGAAGTTAGTGCTGATGACGTCGTCTAGCAAGGCGATAAAAGCTTCACGATTAAACAACCCAGCTTAGAGAACACAATACAACCAGGACCATCCACCTGAGCTACAAATATTCTCCATTATTTCATTGTCAGCTCCCCAAAACAAATACAATCATACAACGTACATGCGCGATAAATGTGAACTAGAAAAAAATCAGTTTCCCTCTGGATTTAGATTTAAAGTATAAAAGGAAGACTGGTCGTCAGTTGCTTCACGAATTAGGAGTGAGTATGAAGAGTAGAAAGTTGTTCAATTGCATGAAGATATATGTTAGTGGGATGGAAGAAATCGGCAGGAACCCTGGACATAGGGTTTCGTGTTTCCTGATATTCGTTAGTAAGGCGTACCTACAACACTGACGGGACTGATGCCCCACCTGAGATTCGAACCGACGCCGTCCAGTGC